ATATTGAATTTATCGAAATATGTTTCCAACTTTTTTGAATATTCAATTACTAATGATAAAATTAACAATATTAATAATAAAATAATCTCCTGTTACGAGTGTCCTATACATTATCGATTATTTCGTTCATGTGAAAACAAAGCGTGCATTCTCAAACCAATTACATATTGTTCTTTATCATGTGCCTATAAGAAATGCATACGTATACTTATACGGATTTCATATTTTATATATTTCATGCACATATCGGATAAAGGGTACATTTGCATACGGGCATCATTTTATTATAAATATATATATATATATATATAAATAATAATAATAATAAAATATAATATATATAAATATAATATATAATATATGGGATAGGATAGGAAGTACACTAAATACGTATATAAGAAAAGATGCCTTAATTTATTTGACTTTAAATCCTTTATCCCAATTGTAGAGAAACATAATTTTATGAGAAATTACTTATTGATATCGTAAAATTGCTAGTTCTTGGCAATAATAATGACTTCTCAAATTGAAACATTTTTTTCAGAGATAGAAACATTAATCGAATTACAATTAGCTAATGAAACTCAAGCACAAGATGAAAATATTAGACAAAAATTTGGTGAAAGAAAAGCTTTAATTGATAAGCTAGAGGAGGAGGATGATGAATAATATATCCGCTATAAATATCGATATCATTCAACATATACAAGTTATTTAAGAGCGATTAAAAAGGTAGATGAGGCCTTCAAGCATGAAAAGTTATTGGAAAAGTACAAAGATTTCAAAACAGAGGAAATTAATGTAAAGGGAAATGAATCTGAATTATTTACAGATATTGAATCAGTTAATCAATCTTTCGATTCTGATAAAAAATCTTTAGAAGAAATTGTAAAAGAGAAACTAAAACAAGCACTAAGTATCTTAGGTGAGAAAGCTATTAAGCTTATTGAAGAGAATTTTGGTCAATTAAATAAGATGCTAAAAACCTTTGATGATTATCAGAAACTTCTCAGTTATGAGAAGTCTTTACTTGAAAAATTAGATGTTCTAATTAATGAAGAATTAATTATTCTGGACCAACTAAATGACAAATCGAATGAACTAAATATTGGACAGGAGATGGAGAAAGTGAATAATCGTTTAATGGCTTTAGTAGATTTAAAAGAGCTTGCATGCCAATATGCTAATCAAACAGTTTATTCAAAAAGATTAGATTTTATTCACGATACTTTAAATTCGCCAGATAAGAAAGCCATATTATTTAGCAATATAATGTTTACAGAAGAAGGAATTAATAAATGTTACAGAGAACTTGCATCATGTTTTCATCCTGATAGAACGAAATATTCTAATACTCCAAATAGACTTTATGATAATAATAAATGCCTTGGTGCAGAGATCTTTAGAATTGCTCAAGAAATTAAAGAAAGTTTATTGACAGATTTAGAGAGCGCTTCAAAAAGCAAGGGCATACTTGATTTTCATGAAAATAATGCGAATGAGCTTTGGAAGATTGCAATTGATTATCGTAATGCTCATAAAGGAAACTATAATAAACTAAAGTTGTTAAATAAAAGAGAAATCGAGGGAATTCCACATGATGAACTGAGGCACTTAAGTATAACAAATGGATTATTAGCATGTGGAGAATATCGAGCAGCTTGTAAAGTTGCAGACAGAACCAAAGAGTTAAAAAAGCAAATAAAACTACGGGATAATATGGCATTATGTTTATATATATCTGACCGTTTCCTTGAAGCTCAATTATATGCATTATCAGCAATTCGATTAATTTATCAACATTATGACCATATTTCTCAAGAAGACTTTAATGGGACACTTAATAAGGCAAAAAAAATATTTGACAAAGTTAGAGAAGAAACATCTCAATTGAATACTGACACTAAGTTGAAAGATGATTTGAATAGCTCACTGGCATTAGTAAGTATACCGAATCGGAGAGTACCTTTTTTAGAAAGGATTACTATTCGGAAATTTATTAACGAAGACATAGCAAAATTATCGGCAGAATTAATGTTCAAACCTGACCGTCAAATTGTTAGTTATCAAGCCCCTATGAAAAATATTTTACGTACCGAAAAGCTTCATTATATGCGCGCAATAATTGTCGGAGGAACAATGATAGCCTTATTATTGCCGGTAGTAATCTTGGCAGGCGTCGCGTTCCCATTATTAGCCCCTCTAAGTCTAGGATTATGGTCCAGTTTAGTATTATGGCCTAGTAGCATATTGACAAAAGGGGTCAATAATTTTCAAGAACCAAACATTCGTAAGAAACTCAATAAAATTATATCGGATGCAATAGAAGCTTATGATAAAGGAGATTATCAGAAATTTATCAAATTACTTTCTGAAGAATATAAAAAGGATACGAGTATTTTAAGATTAAATGACCGTGATGATGTCATTGTACCTAAAAATATAATAAATTCACTTTTGAGCCACGGTTTTAGATCTGACGGTATTGCCTATCTATTAAATTTGATAGGTGAAGTATTATGCGGTGGTAAAATAGAAATTTCGAATAAAATACAGGAAGAATTAAATTTTATGGGAAAAACTGCTTTTACAGGAGTGTTAAATGAAAATCTTATTAAAGAAGCTAAAGAATTAGATGATCGTGTTCGTGCATTAAAAGAGAAAACTCTGAAAGGCTTTACTGATAGATTCATTAATAAAATTATGGATTATTTTTTCTTAGAACACATAGTGAGTTAGCAGAAGAATATGTAGAAAGTGCCAATGAACAGTCTTTTCTATCAAGGTTGGAGGAAATGCGCAATATCGCAAGAATTAACATTGCAATTTTTGATATATTAAGTACCGACGAGAAAGCGATCGCAAGAGTTATCGAAACTATTAATGGGATTCGAGATTCTTGTAATCATCAATTTGATAGCTCAACAGAATTGCGATTAAAAGTCTTGGAGGATTTTTTATGGATTATAGGTGGTGAAGTTTCTGAAACACCTTTAGTTTATTCTATCGAATCAACAGAACAATTGAATGAGGATCAATTAGCTGAGCATGATGGGAAATACTTCACTTATCTGAATGAAAAATTACAAAAAACATCTACTAATAAGGAAAAGGTATTCCTCTATGATAAATTGGCCGATTACTATGTGAAATTTGCTGAAAGAGAAGATACAGTCAATCGAATGAATAGCTTACATCATTGGCAAAATGCTCAGAAAAATTACGAGAACATACGCAAAATAGATCCTAATAATCTAGATGCGACTCTTGGTCTTGCAAAATGTTTATTAAATTTATCCCAATATGATCGGGTTATAAAGCTTTCTAGAGCAAATCCTTGGTTAACATCATCAGCTGAGTATTGGTATTTCTGCATTATAGCTTATTGTAAAAAATTAGAATACGAAGATGCTTTTGGATGTATTATTAAGGCGTTGGAACTAGATCCTCAAAATCCCTTGGCTACGAAACAGAAGGAACTCCTCGATAGGCTAAAAAATGAACATACAATTAAAAAACGCATTAGTTATTATAATAGAAAAATGTATGATGTAGATGATTCAAAAAATTCCTACAAACATCGCAATGATAATTCTGTTTATCGAATTCTCTCGATTGATGGAGGAGGTGTGCGCGGTGTATTACCTGCTTTATGGCTCAGTGAACTAGAATACCGTGCTCATAGACCCATTTCTCAACTATTTAATATGGTGACTGGAACTTCCACAGGTGGAATCATTGCCGCTGGGCTTTCAATGCCACGCTTTGAGTTTTCGAATTCTAAATTGCCTCTTTCGACTATAGATTTATTGGAATTTTATCAAAATCAAGTGAAATCTATATTTACATTAAGTAACAAATGGAATATATCTAGCAAATCAGCTACGAAATATACAGATGATGGCCGCTTTTCAATGTTGTCCAAGTATTTTGGGAAAACTTTGTTAAGTCAAGCATCCATTGAGTTGATTATTCCTGCAGTAAATGTAAACAATCTAAGATCAAAATTGTTTACAAGTTATGATTCACTTAATAATAACTCAAAAAATGATACAATTTTTAATATTTTAATGGCAACAACTGCAGCACCCACTTTCTTTCCCTCTTATGAGATAAAAGATAAGGGCGTTTTCATAGACGGAGGTGTACAGCTTAATAACCCTGCATTAGGGCTGTAAATCGATTCTAAAAACTAGAATCGATAATCGAACATCCTAGAATCGATTAATAATCGATAATCGAA